TTTTGGTTTATAATTATAAAGGTGTTTGGTAATGATAATAATAATATCTAATAATAATATAATAATAATATCTAATAATGATAATGTTAATAATAATATTATAATAGTATCTAATAACAATGTGTGGGGGAAAGGCAGTGGGTTCGTAACAGGTCTAAGTCAAAATTAAAAAAAAAAATGAGTTTATCAGTTATTTCACATCACATTATTTTAAACTAAATTAATTCAATGTAAGTTTTACGATATTGTCAAAAATGAACCGTTAGATGGTGCTCGTTATTTCAACATTATATGAATTATTTCATTAAAATTGTTGTTTCTAGTAAAACTCGTAGTTTTTCATTGATTTACGTCATATATAGGTCATTCGGTTAATTTTGAAAATGGTCTAAGTCAATTGAAACTTTAAAAACATTTTCGTACGAGATTCGCACAAAATTTCACTTTCATAATAAATTTTCATTAATCAAGGCTAATAAAATTCTAAATTAAAATGTTACATAATATAGAAATATTGTTGAATTTATTCAAATGTAATCCTTTAAATATCTCGAAACAAGAAATATATGACTTGGACCACTTTCATTATTATGGGCACATATACTCTTTTTTTCTAAACACTATAGATACGTTTCTCTTTCGAAAGCTACGGATAACGCTGGTTCCGCCTATTTTTCTTTTCTGTGATCAAAAATCGTCAATCATTTTTCATAATATTCTCGTGCTTTTTTCTCTCTCAAATTTATCGCACAACTTTTGAGATATATCCATTAGAAAATTCGTCAAATAAGTGATACTTATAATATCAATTTGATGTGATCGGTCACGAAATCCTCGATTTTCCTGTTTAAATTATCTTTCGACTGGATTTGAATATTTTGTATACGATACGACAAGATCGAGAATTTACCGCAAACATGCAGCACCAGGCTAACTATTAAACTGAGGGTGGTTATGTGGTTCAACCCCACCAACATAAGCGGACCCTGGAACGCGTACATGATAATGTAACTGCGAAAGTCATGCTTGTACGGGAGAACATGGTAACTAGGGAAGGGCAATTCGTAGACTCTCGTTTCGTTACTCTGCCCTGAAACAGTACAATACATCGGTTTCTTTTATAATTCTCCATTCACACCTTCCTTTTCAATCCACGTTCGTTTCATCGTTTCGAAATTGCAAAAACTTCATTTACCAGGAGAGAAGGAAACTACCTTGCCACATATGGTAAAATCACTTTTGCAACGATTTTATTCGTGAGCTAAACAAGAATTTAGCATTCGAGTTTAATTTGGGTTCAATTTAGAATTGTACATCGATTTCGATCCATATTGAAAATATACAGTATTAATAATAAAAAAAACAATTACCTGAATAGGTTATCAACATATGCAACATAGGCGTCAAATACAGAAGAATCGCTACAACCGCGGTTGTCGACACGGCGTACCTGCCGAATTTGTCAGCAATACTGTGATACGACAAATACAAATCCATTTCGTCTTTATTCCTAAACTTGATCTCAGCTATCTCTTGTTTCACGGTGATGATCACATGCGCGATCAATTTATTGCATCGAAGGAGAAACAACATGAAAAAAGTAGTAACGATGATAGTGTTGTGAATTATATTCTCCACCATCAACACTAGATTTCCTAACACTTCGAACAGATCCATGTACATGAGAATTATAATAATGATCAAGTAGATCGCGTACAGGATGAATTTCACGTAACGTTTTCTTAAAGGCCACGCGTCGCATATCGA